TTATTTTAGACTTGAAACTACCGGGTTCAAAAGAACCTTAATTTAGTCGAAGTAATCTGTTAATGAAACTTGTAATCGACTGTCGAGATCGTCAGATATTTTCTGCTTCCTTTAAAATATGTTTTATTTAGCATATTGGTACTGCTCTACGGTTCTGAGTTTTTACCCTGCAGAGCAATAAAATTTGCCTAGTGGTTTATAGAATTTAAGCGTTTAGGTAAAAATCACTTCCATTGATTTTTTTTTCGGCAACTTCAACATACTTAAATCTGCTTTTAGTACTATGTTGGTATATGCTATTTTTTGAATGAAGAGAAGGGATTGTTTGGTTTTCTTTGCGTAAAGGAAGAATTTTGTTAACTAACACCTTCACGGCCTATTAATTTATCTTGAAGTAACATAGTTATCTGATTTTTTGGAGAGAAAAGCATTTAGTATTTGTTCATCATTCTTTATCGTAATGTTAAAAAGCACATTATTTCTTGGGTTTCTGCTACCTTAAAAAATATGGTATGTTCCTTGTTCTAAGTTATTGACTACAGCATTATATTCCTGTATTTTCCTTGGCGTATGCAAAACCATTGAACACAAATAAATTTCAACAAAGAAAGCTGTTTACAGGTAATAGCGATGGAGTTGACTGAAGGTGCGCAGTGTGCGTCTTTTGGGTCTTCTTCGCGGTCTCTATCAGATTCTGAGTCTAATGCCACAGCATTTCATTTAAAAGGTACCTCCGGTTCTGCTATAGAAAGTTATGAAGTTTTTTCCTAATTATGTGACTATTAATAATCATTGGCTATTTTTAAGAGCTAAATGAAAATTATGCCCTTACAAGGACCGGCCGTATCCGGGCTGCTATGTTTCCTGAATTGGTCACGGACGGCTTGGACGGTTCTCAGATTCCAAAAACTCGCTCGACAGTGATCGAAAAGTTAGGGGAACCCAGTCAGTTGGTAAAAACAGCTCTAGTGGAACTTCTCAGCCTTCAAGATGAGACTGAACTGGCAACAAAAGCCATCCCGGAACTCGTCAAACTTTTAGGCGACAAAGATGAGGTGAGATTTTATTCCTACTGATTGAAGGACCCTTGAGAGTCATTCATACAGTTTTTCTTCAGCCTCTTAAATAATATATTTTTACTTGTGGTGTAATTGCTGTGGCTTTTTGAAAACTATCTTCTAGATGTTTTTTTTCTTTATAGACAGTGGCTCTTCGAGCAGCCCACATGGTTCACCTTCTTTCTCGAGAGGATAGATCCGTTAGGACCATAGCAAAGGATCCTTCACTGATTTCTGCCTTGTTTTCGGCGTCGAAGTGATTGCTTATTAATACATACAAAAATGACTAATTGACATTACAAAGACAGTTTTCTTTACAGGAATTATTAAACTAATAATTAAAGTTGTAATTACTTTTAAGGTGTAATAACGAATCCATACAGAGAAATGCGCTTGCAGCTATTTCTCACATATCAGAACACGCAGAAGGTAGAATGCACTTATTTCGATCTGGCGGGATTCCGGAACTTGTGCGTTTGCTTTCTGTACGTGTCGACGCTGTACGTCATTATGCAATCACTACTTTGCACAATCTGTTACTTTATATGGATACAGCGAAGCAGGTGAGCAACACTTACAGGATCTGTTTAGTCAAACCAATTTTTTTATTTAAAATGAAAAAGCCAGACTTATTTTTTCAAATTTTAGGAAACTAGAGCATGTGGTGGGATTGAAGCGATGACCCCATTATTGCGCGAAAGGAATCCTCGTTTTCTCGCCTTAGTAGCTGACTCATTATACTTAGTTTTGTTGGATCATCCTCAAGGGAAGCTCATATTCCTTTCCTTAAATGGCCCGTCACTGTTGGTCGATCTTTTAAATAATTATCGTGCTTATCCGAAGCTAGTATATGCCGTGATTCGGTGTATTCGTGCGGTTTCTGTGTGTCGCCAGAGTAAAGTTGCACTAATCGCACTTGGCAAGCTTTACTTATCTTTATTTTTAATGTATTATTAGGCCGGTTTCTTTACTTTTGAGAATTAAACTTAGTTATACATCTTTTATGTTTAGGAGCGCTCCAAGTTTTGGAAACATTTATCGACGAAGCGGATGAGAGGACTCAGGTCGCAGTTTTATCGGCAGTTCGTAATCTTTCAGATGCAGCAGCAAATGAAGAAAATTTAGGACCTCTTGTATTAAGGATGATCAGTATTGTTGCCAGTGGTGATGAGTCTTCAGTTGCGTGTGCGACAGGAGTTTTATCAAATTTAACGTGCAATAACGTTCGTAACAAACAAGTATTGTGCAGTAACAGGTAGATTGTGAAGTTCTTTCACATTTCAAGAGACAGTACTTATGATTATTACTTTCTGGATTTTTCATTCGTTAATGTCCCAGTCTTTTCACTGGCATTGGTATATAGAAGCATACTTCCTGCTAGTGAATCATTTTTAGAGGTATTGACGTACTGTGTGGAGCTTTGGAACGTTTCGCTGCTTCTGAAGAAGTAACTGAGCCAGCGCTTTGCGCACTGAGGCACTGTACGGCTCGACACTCAATGGCACCGCAAGCTCAGAGTGACGTACACCTAGCTCAAGCGCAACACATAATCTTAGACCTACTGGCCTCTATGCGAGCGCCAGTTGTTAAAGCTGCCCTTGGACTAGTTCGTAATTTAGCTCTTCTTCCCTCAAATCTCCAGTCACTTGCACACGTATGTTGTTCGTTCTGCTATTTGAATTTTCATTTTCTCTTTGATTACCTCTACTTTGCAGCTAACAGGTCCTAGATTAGTTAATT